ACATTCGACTGGAGACCATTTCTTCTTAATTTACCACTACCTAAAGAGGAGCAAACATTCAAGACTAAAGACCAAGAATTACTGAAGTCATTAAAAAAATGGTGATTATGAAATTCCAGAAAGATAAAAATCATATACAAAAAGCAAGCATTGTTTCCAACAACAGAAATCAACAGATCACATCATGACCACAATACAAATAAGCAAAGTTTGAAACACACCACTGTCTGCAGCAACTTAGTCGCAGCATATTTAACCTGGAGGGCAGCATAGAGCATAAATGTATATTTAAAAAGAGGGAAAAAAAGTCATAGCTACTAATAGATAATATCTAAACACCAGTGATAAAATGCTTTCTCTGTGATATCACTAAACATTTGAAAGGTTTGCTCAACCTCTCAAATTGTTAGCAGTGCAATTTGTGGTGCAAATAAAGCCCTGAAACAGATTTCTAGCTCCATGTTAACAGTAAAGTAATCTCTATCCTAATTACACAATAGTTTCTCATTAAATTTGCTCTGCTGAAAAAGTTATAGAAGTTCTCTCAAATATCAGTACGATTTCAAGAGTAGATCTATACTAAATTCTGAGAACAAGAAACCTGCAAGTGCAAATAAAAGTCACTGATCAAGAACATGCACTTAAAATAAAAATGAAATATTACTTTTCTAGGGTTTAAGCTATTGGTATCAGGATGTAGCAGGAGCTCCTTCAGCTCGATAGGAGCAACTGTCATGGAGTTGCAGCGTACCACATTTATAGTAGAAACATTAATTTCCAAAGAGAATTGGGTACTACTAGAAAAAAATCCTGTCTATACTGATCATTAAAACATTTTAAGTGCAGAGATAGAAAATAAAAAGCTGTGCTAACACACAGTAAGTCTGCAGGATGAAGAAAGGATGATGGCAGAGGCACCCTCCCAAGGCTATGGGGAACTTAACCTCATTGTTCTTGTTACGCATTTCACTCCCCTGCCCATGTAAGTCCAGTTTTCAGAAGACCAGCCACAAACAATCAAATGTTATGTTTACCTATGAACCTCCAAAAACCCATGAAGTATGAAATGACATCAGCAGTACAATCAAACTGCATTAACTCTTTCTAAACTGTAACAGCACGTTCTGTTATGACACCTAGGAAGAACACTGAAGCATGAAATGAGATTGTACACAGGCAGATCTGTTCCAAAATATGTGCCTTTACAGGAAGGGAGAAGAAGGACACTAAACACGTGCACCACCTGTCCCAGCTGCGATTCCTGCAGAAGGTTAAATGCGAAGCGGTTAACACACTTTGTAATAAAATGAACCTTGTTCTCTCCCTTGTGCTTACTGCTGGAGCTAAACATGTGTTTTCCCCCACAACGTAGGAGCTTGCTCAAGACTTGAACCAAAAAAAAAAAAAAAAAAGCAGAAAGAAAACACAAACCTTCAAAGTGAGATTAGGAGAGCATGCCCTGTTCTTACCATTCAAACAAACATATGGCCTAATGGAGTTCTTATGATCAAGAAAACTCATCTTGCATGGAAAAAACACAGACATTCTCCACTTTGCTAAAGCCCATCTCTTGTGGATAAGAAAGATACAGCTGTACTCTTGAACCCACAAGGCCTGGAAACTAGGCCATTCTTCTGCTTAAGGCACTGAAAGAAAGAATTCTTGTCAGATACTTTCTCCCACGCCCCCTCCGTCCAAATCAAAACCATGTGTTCTTATTGTGCAAAAGCAAATCCAGGCAAAAAAAAAAATTAAACATGGTATAATTATTATTTCCCTGACCTCACCACTTCATTCCATCCTCTTATCTCTTGCCCCGTTCAATTTGTTTCCCTCTAAAAATGCAGCTGTCTCCCAGCCTCCGCTATCAGCGAGCCATCCTTCACCACACCTGCTTTAGCTGGCATCTCAGACATCACCCTGCCCTCACTAGCCTGCAGCGGGGTGTGCGTGTGTCAGAATTATCACAATTAGTTCTATGATAATGTAGTTGATCGCATGACTGTAAATCGCTGTGTTATCATGCCTTAAACCCCCCCCTGCCATGACATCTCTGAATCACTCCGATAGGGCACTGGCTGGGTAAGGCACGCTGCAGTTCCTACGCTCCTCCTCAGCTCCAGCCAGCCTTATCAGCCGGCTCTCCTGCCTTGTTTGTTCCTTCTCCTCCAGTAAACACGCGCCATCTCCGGAGCAGGATGTACCAACTTCTGCGTGCCTGAAAAGTACAAGGCAAAACAGTTCCCTGGGCCTTCGCTGGGAGTGGTGACGCCACAGCACAAAGAGAGTCCCAGCACACTTCCACAAGTAAGAGTAAGAGCTTCAAAAGATAGAATGACATTTACCAACAAATTTAAATAAAAAAATAAAAAAATACACCAGCCTACAAGGCCTTTATGTCAGAAGAAGCAAAATACAGCCTTCTCATTTTTATTAATTTTACAAAGTGGCATACAGCCTACCACTGCAACTCCACGCGTCTTTCCTTATACAGAACTCTCAGAAAGCATTCAAGATCATGTATTACCTGCACCTTTCTTTTCTCTTACTGTAATTCATGAAGAATGTTCCCCAATTTAAGCACTTCATACAGTACAATATGAAGGAGAAAACACAAAAGCCTCAATAGCAACTCAATGAAAACAAAAGAGCTACAACAAGCTCAGAGCTTTAGATTCCTATCCCTCTCCTCCTCCAGCCTCAGCAGAGATGGGAAGCTCCATTCACCCAAACTAACCCCAACTCCAACTGTCTGAATGCCCTGAAACATTACCTACAACAGCCTACACATCACTATCAAGAGGAAACCATAGTTACACATACGAAATCAAATCGCAGGAAAGTGTTTACTTTCAATACTACTCTTACCCCTCATTTTAAAAAAAGAAAGCTGATAATAGGCATGAAAATAATGTTTACTGCACTGCCTCTACCCATCAATTTTCCTCAGCTTTCCCAATAAACCATTCAATAAGAAAAAATGTTTGACAATCATACTGTATTTTGTTTCCTTAAACATAGCTATGGTGAAAGAAGTAAAATTTCCAGCGCAAAACACTTAGGGGCATATGCGTTAGAAAAATTAAACATCGCACTGGGAGATTAAAAGAACAGCAAAAAGGAAAAAGAGATTGGGTGTGAATTTATATCATGCAGGCCTATCAGTTATACACATACTGACTGTTTCACAATGACTGCTCCCCTCCACCTGTTGTTTGTCCATTGCCATTGGTCCTCCTTCCTTTCACTCAAGCTGGCTGATAAGAATTTATCAGGTAACCTGCTGCATGACCCTACCCCTTCTGGACTACTGTCAAAGGGCACTGCGGTGTAAAAGGCACAACCAGTTACGGAACTGTGTGCTGTTTTCACACATCCAGCCAGGAACTCTCATAATTCTTCAAGGGGAGTATATTCTTATGAGAGGTGCTCTGTCCAATTTTATTATTTCGTTCAAATGACAGAACACACGCTTGCATACTTAGTGAGAACAGTTTACATTGAAATATATACAAAAATACACATAACTTTTTCTTTTCTTCTTAAGAACAAGAAAAAAAAAAAAAAACAGAACAGGGAAAGCAGCTGCCGAGAACCCGGGGGTGGCAGGGGTAGGGTAGCTCCCAATGATTTCATGCAACGATCTCACACCATGTGCAAAGCACAGCTGGACGCGGACGTAGATTTGTACTCAGACCCATCAATCAGCTCTCTCGGGGATGCAGAGCTACAATCTATCCCTTGAGAGTCACACAATGGAGCAACATTTCTGAGAGATGGCCACAAGGAAGGAAGAAAAGATTGCTACCCAGAAGATCACCATTAACTGCACAACTTCTGAGAGCTTCGCTAATATATGTGCTTGGGAATTGCAGATATGCACTACAAAGAGGGAGTCAGTTCACCAGGCCAAGAACACTCAGACTTACCCTGCTCTAATTTAACTCCTGCTTTCCCAGCCCCTCTCTTTTAAGTAACTTCTCCCGGCAGATGCAGCGCCTTGCCACCCCAGCTACCAGAGCTCACCAGCTAACCTCTGAGCATCAAGGCCCATCAGCACAAACACTCTGCCCGTCCATTAGTGCTTATTAACAGGAGGAAGCACATTAAGAGTAAATTAAGCGTCTCACCTCACCCTGACAGAGTCCATTTTAAACCAAGGAATTATGCTGTCCCCAAAGTCAACAACAGGCCAGCTCCTTCTTCCCACACTTGCCACTTTAGCCAAAGCTCTTGGGCAAGGGCAACCAGCAGTACCCGAGGGGGCTTGCCCAATGCCCAGAGGGCAGAGGGGACAAAAGCCTTGGGGGAACCCTGCCCCAAAACCCAGCAGACACCCTGCTACCAACAGCACAAGAATCACTGTGCAAATTTGGGAACGTACTGCTGCATGGCTCTTTACAGTCTGTCTGACCAACTATTATATTCGTTAGTGTTAGGTTACAGACTTACACCAAGATTTTCAGTAGCAAATGTGCAATTTTGAAGACTTTGATATCCTGTACACACCTGATTTTTTAGACACCCTTGCCTTCTCTGAAATAAATAAAAAAAATATCCTTACTTACATCTAGTTGTCAAAATAGAGCATTCAAAACCGGCACATTTAATAAATGAACTACCAACAGTTTAATTGAAGTTTTCATTCTACAGAAGTTGAAGATGTTTGAAAATATTTCCATTTGCCTTCTGTAAACGCACTTTGCAAGTCTTATGCACTGTATTACTGGATACATGCATAAATATTTCTTATCTCTTCCTGTCATCTACCCCTTGTCTACATTCCTATATACATTTGAAATGGAAACTCCTAAGCAACATGCATCACTCAAACCTGAGCCTTGTCATTTAATTAAATCTAAATATTCATTTTCATCTCAAGGACTTGCTTCCATTCTGACACTAATAGAGGACTCATCAGCCCATGAATGAATAGAAAGGACAGCCCAAGTGGATCTATCTACTGGCTTTAAGCTTTAACTGGGAACCACACAGACACGGCCTCGTCAATTACACTTCCACTGGGCGACTGAAACTGAAGCCTTCGTTCCTTTAACTATATTCCTGGTACCTTCACCTCCTAATGTCTCTGCTCCTATTTACTCTTTATTTCTCCAAATTCAGTGACCTATTCAGCAGACGCTGCCTCTTTGCCTTGCACACAACCAGGCCCTGGTGCTGGCTGGAGCCCGCAGCCCTGGCAGGACCCGAGCGAGCCACCTGCCCGCCGCCCCGCGCTCCTCACCGATCGCTTTCCCTCCAGCTACAGGCCGGGTAAAATTGCCTGTGTGAAATTTCATATGACTGCCGCTCCTGCCACTTCTCCCGAAGGCAGCTAATGATATCGAGGGCGCATGCCGAGCATACCTCGTTTAATCTCGGCTCCCTCACCTAAGAGGCACATTTCACACCTCCCATCCCACCGCCTGGCTAAGCGCTCACACCGGGCGTTCAGGGCCAGACAAAGTCCGGGACTTTGGGGATCTCTCGGGCGCTCTGCTCCGAGGCAGCGGGGCTGTTCCCGCAGGAACCCCGCCACAAAGCGCCCACCACCCCACCCCGGGAGGAGGCGCGCAGGGACGCCCCAGCCGAGCACAAAGGCAGGCACCAAGAACCCAGCGGGGAGGGAGCGGGGCCGGGCACACGGCCTCCCCGCGGCGCCACACAAAGCCAGGCAGCGGCAGCCCGGCAGCAACAGGCCGGCAGCAGCACAGCGCCAAGGTGCGCCCCAAACAAAGGGCGGCTGCCCGGGCAGGGGCGGCGCGGCCCGGAGGCCTCTCCCCGGTGCAGCCGGGGGCAGGGGCAGGGGCCGGGGCCGGAGAGGGGGGGTGGGGGTGGACTCACGTTCTCCGCGTCCCGCTCGTTGACGGTGGGCAGCGGCGTGCGGGTGGACATCTTGCGAGCCGGGAGGGGGCGGTGGGGCCGCCCGCTCAGCCTAGGCCGCGCAGCCCCGCCGGCAGCCGGGCGCTCCGGGCGGGCCGGGCCTCCTGCCGCCCGCCGGCCCCGCTAGGCGCCCGGCGCCATGGCCGCGCCCGCCCGCCCGCCCCCTTCACCGCCGCAGCCACCGGGCTCCGGGCTCCGGGCTCCGCGCAGCTCGGCCGCACGGCCCCTCCTGCCCCGCCTGCTGCCCGCTCAGGTGAGCGGCCGGCAGCGCAGGGCGGCCACGGCGCCTCCTCGCAGCATCCGGCAGCGGCTCCTCCTCCTCCTCCTCCTCCTCCTCCTCCTCCTCCCGCCGCGGCCTTCCCCTGTCCTCCTCCTCCTCCTCCTCCTCTCTTCCTCCTGCTGCTGCTGCTGCCGCCCGGCCTCGGCCCCGCGGAGGCTGGCAGCACCTGCCCGCATCTAGGCGTGTGTGTGCCCCCCGGCCGCCATCCGGCCACCGCGGCCCCCCGCTCCCGGCCGGGCCCTCGGAGGCTTAGCTGGTGAGCTCATGGGCTTGAAATTAGGAACACGCACGCATTTTTTATTATTATTATTATTTATTTTTTTGTCCCTGGAGAAGTTGGTGGTGTTTACGCGGCAGCAGCTTTTGGTAGGAAACCGACCAGCCCCTCTAAAAATAATCCGGGAAAATGAAAACGCGCCCCACCGCCAGAACCAAAAGGAGAACAGTGTGCCTGAATTTCCATTGCGACGGCTCAGGGTTTTCATAGCCGAGTTTGTAAACATGCTAATAAATTCAGCAAACAATCCTTAGTCTCAAAGACTATTTACAAAAAATATTCCGGAGTGCACTTGATACACTGCACACCTATCTCCAGGAAGCCCTTGTGCACTTGCGAAAGGAGGTATTTTATTATATTTTACCTACAAATGTGTTCAGTTCTGGCTGATTTACCTCTGGTGTCATTCAGGAGGTACCCCAAGCCTAAAAACAGCCTCAGCAACTGCTCAGCCGACACCAGTTTTCCAGATGTTTAGGAGCACAGCTCTTCCTCTGCTGCTGACACACGCACACACAGAGGACATCTCCGTGTTAGCCCAGTCTCTCTTTGCACACTCAGCATCACGTTGCTCTGAGCATGCATGATTTGTCTGTCTGGAAAGGCAGAGCTTCCCAGCTACTCCTCAGCTCAAAGCCTCTGAAATCTTGGTGAGCACCTCAGCAAGCTCCTAGATCATTGCTGGCACTACCGACTGTGAGGAGACTTTCCCAACCCTTCATTTTTATGGGAACAAAATAAGCCAAGATTGGGTTTACTCGGGGTAAACAACCGTGGTCTCACCAGCAAGCCAAAACAAGTTTGTTGACAAACTGGATATTAACCCAGTTTGGTTGCTTAGCTCATCAAAATGCGCTCACTTTTATCCCAAATAAGTACAAAGCTGTGTCTAGGGCTGTGTGTGGGGCCTGGCTCTGCAACCCTTCCTTGGTCACTGCTCCCCCTGATGCCAGCCCGCCGTGGTATAGATTTGTCTGTGCGCTTGTGGTCAGCGAAGAAAGCAGTGTAAACTCAAATGTTTTCTAAATGTATTTAATGGCACCACTGGCTGAAGGAAAGCTTCGAAAGACTTCCTGCCTTGCAGCTTGAATGTTTCAGTCAGTAAGACATATGAACATTTTGGTTCATCAGAAATTGAAAGTACATAATAATTCCTGTTACCTGCAGACCTGCTTTGCAGTTGTTTTGGCCATGGTTGTTACTCTTATCACCTGCGTCTTTCACAGTAATGAGGTCACCCATTTGTTTAATAGCTTGGTCTAATTTTTGTTGGTTATTATTACAGGCCTTTCCACCCCCCAGTGAGAAAATGCAGAGAGGGCAGCTGAGGAGCTGTATGGAGGAGCAAGCAGCTACAGAGGTAATGCTGCCATCCCTCACCTGCTCTCTGGAGACACAAAGCTCAACATGGGCAATGGGCTGAGCACAAAAATAGCCTACAAGAAGGATGCTCTGAACTGTCAGAGACCTGCCCTAAAATATGCAGAAACTTATTGCTGCTCCAAGCAGCATTAACTCCCACTCCATGCCCAGCGTGAGTCACAAAGCGCAGGCAGGGCTGGGATGCCAGCAACAGCAGAGCTCCGCACTCAGCCTCTGCAGGGATGGAGGGCTGCGAGCAGTACGCTGCAAGCCCAAAGCTATCATTTGGTGAAAGTGGGAAGGCAGAAGGAGTGTTGCTCTTGGGATCTGTGTTTTGAGAGGCTGGAGGAAGTCTTTACTTCTCCCATCACAAGTGAGAGGAACACACTCGTGTAAATAGGCAGGTTTGGGATGGATCTCAACTTTTAGCCCAAGCTCTAAGAAACTTGCATAGGCCCCTACTCGAGCCTGGGTGAGTACCTGTTTTTGTTTTATTCCTGGCTGCTTGTTAGGCAAAGAGAGAGGAGGCAGAGTACAAGATGTAAGCTCCTACACCGTTATTATTCTGAAAAGTGCTAATTCTCCACATTTTTCCCAGAAATATCACATTTATTTATGACCAGACAACTTTGTTTAGTAAGGAAATTAAGGTGTCAGTTGGCTCTGTAGGCACTTGTCCATCCCAAGGGGAGCTCCAGCAGTGAGTCAGCTTCAGCTTCTTGGCTCATAGGCAAATGGACTCATTGCCTTGTGTCTTGTTGAAGCCAAGCCCAAATGCCTTGTCCTTCAAGAAGCCAGCTGGCTGCTTCTGAGGCCCACTTTACTTTGTGTTCTCAGGGATGTGCCGGCTGGGAGCCACGTACAGGCAAGCGCAAGCACAGAAATGTCTCCCTAGCATGAGCCTACTGCCTTGGGATGGCCTGGAGTCTTCTACAATGCATTAGGTAACTGGGTTGAACTTCAGGGTTGGAGGGTGGATGTTCCACCACCTTAACCTGAGTATTATCCACAACTGTACTAGCAATTTCAGGCACTAACCTGAATGAACTTTTTTTCCCCCCAAATTTTCCAAATCTGATTCTCAATATCAAATGAGTGAGGCTCAGAAATAACACAGTGATTGTGTGACCACTTGAATGTGAACAAAATAGACCTAAATCTTGGTCTTTATTGCCCTTCATTATACCGGAACATCTACTATATAGTGAAAAATAAAATGAAAGACCTGAAAAAGGAAGGTCCTGAGGGAATTATCAGGTAAAGTTGCTAAGACACTGTCCATCGTATCTGAGATGTCATGGCAGTCCAGTAAAGTTCCCATTGAGTGGAAGAGAGGAAACATTGCCCCCATTTTTAAAAAGGGAAAAAAGGAAGACCCAGGGAACTATACAGGCCAGTCAGTCTCACCTCTGTGCCCAGCAAGAGCATGAAACAGTTCCTCTAGGAAACTGTGCAAAGGCACACGGAAAATAAGGAGGTGATTGGTGACAGCCAACATGGCTTCACTAAGGGCAGATCATGCCTGGTGGTCTTCTATGATGGGGTTACAGCATTGGTGAATAGGGGAAGAGCAACTGACATCATCTACGTGGACTTGTGCAAAGCATTTGACCCTGTCCTGCATGACATTGCTAACTTGGAGAGACATGGATTTGTTGGATGGACCACTTGGTGGGTAAGGAATTAGCTGGATGGTCGCACTTTCTTACAGTCATGCCTGAAGGCTCAATATCCAGGTAGATATTGAGGTGATTCTCCCCCTCTACTCCGATCTTGTGAGACCCCACCTGGAGTTCTGCATTCAGCTCCAGAGCCCCCCGCACAAGAAAGACACAGACCTGTTGGAGCAAGTCCAGAGAAAGGCCATGAGGGTGATCAGAGGGCTGGAGCACCTCTCCTATGAAGACAGCTGAGAGAGCTGGGTTAATTTAGCCTAGAGAAGGGAAGGTTCTGGGGGACCTTATAGTGGCTTTCCAGTATTGAAAGGGGACCTACATTAAAGCTGGGGAGGGACTTTTTATGAGGGAGTGTAGAGTTAATACAAGGGGCAATGGTTTTAAACTAAAAGAAGGTAGGCTTAGACTAGATATGAGGAAAAAAATCTTTCTTGTGTGGGTGTTGAGGCCCTGGAGCAGGTTGCCCAGAGAAGCTGTGGATGCTCCATCCATGGAAGTGTTCAAGGCCAGGTTGGATGGGGCTTTGAGCAACCTGATCTAGTGGGAGGTGTCCCTGCCCACAGCAGGGGGGTTGGATTAGATCATCTTTAAAGATCCGTTCCAACCCAAATCATTCTATGATAAAATTTGTAAGAAGTAATATATTTCTATCTGTATGTAATAAGTCTGCAATAGCATTAACTCCTGAGGTCATTACCAACTACAGATACAAGGCTCCATGGATTGTTTACTTTCATGAAAGACAACTATTGTATGTGTGTAGGCTTTGTAAATATATTATTAGTTGCAGTCAAGATTCTGTTTTTGCCACAAGAATCATTGGGAAGTACAGTGTTGGTGGAAAGTTATACTTTAACTTGCCCCCAGTACTTTAAGCCTCCAAACAAATCTAAAAATAAAAAAATAAATAAATTATTTTTGAGTTTAATAGGAATACATACCTATTGTATATATTTTATTGTGTGTATGCAAATAGAAGTTTACACAGATTTAACAGGCCAAAACTCATCTCAAGGTCAATTGTACTGAGATTTGACTATAGTTAAGTTTGTCTCTTCACATTTTCTAGGTAACTGAAGATTTTATTGTTTCCATACCATTATAAGGAACTGCTATAAGAATGTCTATGTAAGAACTTAATGTGAAAACAGTAAATAAAAGCAGCATTTATCACAGGTTGCTCTGGATCCATGTGAGGAATACAATAAAATCCTAAAAGCACTTTGTATTTACATAGCTTTCTTGCACTTGTAAATCTCCAAAGCTTCTAAAACAGTATTACCAAATCTGTTTCACAGAAGGAAGAGCACCTTAAAATAAGCTGTAAACTTGAGGAACAAGCCGTGAGGGCAGTCCTAGTTCATTGCCAATGGTCTGAAGGACCATTAGCGAAGAGGTTCCCCTTGTCCCTGGGCATGCCTCTGATGAACAGAAAAACAGTTTTCTCTGAAAAACAGAAAAGGGTTGTAAATGGGTCCTGCATTGCTAAAGAGCTCTGTACTGGGTCTTAATAATCGTTGCTAAAAGTAAGTAGTTGAAATTGTTTTCTTCAGCTTTGATATCTCATCTTTCCTTTGACTCCCCCAGTCTCTACAGCCACAGCCAACTTCTTACCACATCTGAAGAGTTTCAAAAAGGAAACTAGCAAGCCACCATAGCACTGAGGTAGAACCACAACAAAACCTGGGGCAATGGCAACTGCACGAATGTAAGCACTTGTTTTCATTTTCCTCTCCCTTTTTTGACTGTTGTGGGTTTCAGTGGTGGTTTCAAACTCACTTCTTAGAAGTTTCATTTTCTTTTCTTTTTGTAGCTTGGATTTAGATTAAGTATAATGGTAGAGGAGGTAAGGCTTGAATCATTTCCATGCATCATCACTGTCTATATCTTTTTTCTTTTTTTTTAAACATTAACATTCTTTGAAAAAACTACAACATAATCCAGCAAGTAATAACAATGAAAAGATAAATTTAGGTAATATAGTGCATTTGAAACATCTGTAACATAAGGCAACACTTTGGTGTGTCTTTATCTGAAAAATATTTGTTTGCTACGAAAGTAAGTTAAAGAGTAAAATAACTGTTTAAAGCAGGTACTTGCATGATTTGTATCAAAGCTGTGCCTGAGCCTGCCACATATGACATAATGTGCATTAGTCTTGTGAATCAGGGAAGCTTCTCTAGCTGTTGCTACAGCTGTAGGTCTGACAAGCAGAGAGGAAGCCAGGGACAAAGGAGACAGCAGACTATAAGTAGTCCTCTGAGACCCTCGGGGTACAGATTTAAAACCAGATTTAGATAACCCCAGGAGATGGGGCAGGATGGCAGAATGCCTGCAACAAGAAGCCTTGTGATCTGCCATTGATCTTCAGAGGGCCATCAGAGACCGAAAGTGGGGGAAGAGTTGGGAAAGGCAATTAACCTAAGTGGTCACAGATGTTCTCACTCTGCATCTGCCCTCTGCAGACATCAGTGGTGTGGTTTCTGTGGAAACAGAAACTCTGCTAAATGGAGCTGCTGTCCCTATCAGGATCTGATTTTTCCAAAGATGCATGTTGTGGTAGCGTAACGAGAGCTTGTTGATGCAGAAAGGTGTAAAACTATCCTGCAGTAGCATTGTGTATTCAGATCCAAACTAGAATGGATTATTATCTATGAATAATTTCAGGGTTTGGTAAGAATTAATCCAATGAATTATTCTGATGCAGGGAAGTCTTTAACTACTGCAAAAACCCTATGCAATCTCCAGTGAGTCCGGTGTCACTTCCAGCAGTCTTTTCTCTCCTATTATAAGCTGACCAAAGAAGGTGCCACAGGTGAAGATTTTAAGATTATTTCTTGCTTTAAGGTTTTAGATAAACTTCTGACTGAAAGATTTAAGCATGTGTGTCTCTATGAGTGAATTTATTTATTTACCTATTCAGGACAACTTTTATTTTACTATTATTTCTTATTTTTATAATATCTTATTTGGTTAAGATACCTTGCTGAGTGGACTGGGTTTCATTTTTTACTGAGTCATTCTGCCATTTTCAAATGTCTTGGGAAGTTGGGTACTTTTTTTTCCACCTCCCCCTGAAAAAATTGCAGTGCTCCTGTTTTGTTTTATGCTGACAGCATTAAATTGGCAGAATAGTCGTAAAGATAATTGACAAAATGACAGGATGGAATAAAATGTTGGAAGGAAATATCTGACTCAGGCATTCTTGGACTTTTTAACAGTTAAACCACAACGGCCTGTTGAAATGAATGAGGTACTCCCACAAGAGAAAGTAAATTTTATCCCTCCCAGAACTTGATTGGGGAACAAAATGGCAAACAACTGCTTACTGCCATGAACCGTACTGAGTACGTCTCACAGCAGACTGAACGCTGGACTGAAATTTGTACAGACTTCTCTGAGGTTATTGGGAGCAGAGAAAGGCCATCAGACATCCTGTAGCAGCAGCTGAGCCGGAGCTGGTAATATCCTTGCCTGTCATGGCTTTAGTGATGGTTATAAAGGAGGAAAGGTTCCAGAGGTCTCCTTCAAAGAGCTTACAACATTTAGCAAGCAACCATACTGCTAGCTTGAGCCTTGTTGTCCAGAAGTACTTTAAGGTCTCATCTTGTGCATTTTCAGGGCGCATTAAATATCATATTAAAATGTCCCCCCTGAGATGTGATAAGTGACCCTGCAGGGCCTTAGTCTGCAACCAGTGCCATCGTCTTGCGCAGACACATCATCTTGCTCACCCAGTCTCGGAAGGGAGGCTGCATGGAAACAGATACAAGAACATGAAAGGCAAGAAAAGAAGCACAGCATTGGATCTAACATTTTAAATTAGCCAGAGAAGAAAGAAAGAAAGAATGTCAACACAATTCCAGAATGAGCTAAAAATAAACCTAAAGGTTTATTTTTAGATGTGCCATGCTATCCAGTAACAGCTCAGCTTTATGGCATGTAGAAATAGGATCTAGATTCTGATTTTGGTTATATTGCCGGGAGTTTTCCATTGACTTCAAAGATGCTTAATATTTTCACCAAAAAAAATTGATCAGAATCTGGCCATAGATCTCCTTCATGTGATGCATTTACATGTGAGTTTTAGTGTGTGTGGGGGGAATATTTTAAATTATGAACCAATATACTATCTTGCTTTTTTTTTTTTTATATAATTTTCAATGATTTTGTGGGTTTTGAAAATGAACAGTGCTATATGTATGCTAAGCATTATTATGTATTATATAAATGCATAATGTCAACCATTCTATTTTCATCTTTGCCCACAGCATGGTCATTATATATCTGTAGTAGGAAGAAATGCAACACTGTATTTAATAAAGGTAATGGATTATGTTTGTATTTCATGTTGTTAGGTGATCCGCTGCTTCCCACATCTAGGTCACGACTCAAATCCGTCAGGGTCGAGCATGGCCAGTCATTACTATCTGACACCCAGTATGCCTCTGCTGCTACAGAAATTGTCCCCTCTGTAACTCATCAGCTCCATTCAGACCCCGGGAAAATGCTGTGGGGTGATGCCAGTGATCACACGGGTGGAGGAAAATGCCAGTCTTTGTTCTGGAATATCCTGTTCAAAACACAGCTAAGCAGTGCTAGTGATAGTGATGTAAAATAAATTAAAGACACCCAACTGAAGTATCATAAAGTCCAGCACATCTTATGAGCACTAAAAAAAAAATAACTAAAATAGAAGAGAGTAAGTTTAGTAAACTAATGGTTTGCTTAAGAAAATAGTTTTGTTTGTTTGTTTGTTTAACAGAGATCTGATATGCTTGGCATGAAGCATGGGTCAGAAGATCTCACTGGAGTGCTAAACCAATTTTCCAGTAAGGTCTGCAAGCCCAGCTTTGAGAACACCAGAGTTTGTTCCAGCTGCAAAAAAGGTATACACATTTTTCAGTTTAGATTTGTGTCTCAAGCCTAATGTTTGGCATTTTTACTACATTGCTGATTTTGCCCCACAGCAGCACATTACAAGTCCACCCGACCAAATCTTAAGGCCTTCTGGTCATTTGTTACAGAGCTCTTACTGGAAACAAAACTCGCCGTAGTTTAATCCTGATGGATAAAAAGCAGCTGAGCACGCACCCTTCCCTCTGATTTCCATAGCAGTTGTTGCTGAGTAAGGGCTGGATAGGGCTCCTGCTCCCGCATCAGGACTGCTGACACGAGCATGTGGGAGGAAGATGAAGCTGCGCGAGGGCAGACTTCACTTCAGGAGCTGGTCCTTTCTTCTTTCACACGGATGGGAGTGGTCACAGCGCGCTTTCCTGCCACATCAGTCTCAACAGATCCTTGCACAACTTGGCCTGTTTTAAGCTTTTAACAAGGGTGTAGGAGTTCAGAAAAAACTACCTCCCTTCCCCCAAGAAAAATTTAATTGCAAAGGTTTGTTTTGATGTAGCATGTACAGTAAACTTGAATCACTGAAAGTGAACCGCACATTTGTGGAAGTGTTTTTTTTCTTGCCCTAGTTTTTGTTCCTAGTTAGCTATTCATTTTGTTTCACTCTTGGAGAAAACACGCTGGAGACTTCATCCTGCTGCCGGTGAGGCTGATGGCAGAGTCCCTAAGGCCATCACCCCTGAGGCTGTGAGACAGCTCCTCTCTGTTGACCCCACTGGGGCTGTCCCAGTATATACCAGAAGGCAATCTGCTCCCCGTCATCCCTAATGCAGACAGACCTTGGCGTGACTCATTTTACAGGCCAAAGCAAGCATTAATTCCCAGTAATAATAACAAAGTGGTGCATGCTGATAGGTTCCACTCTCATTGTAGCTGTGTTGCTAATTAGGAGTGCTGCTAATTCTTTATAACACCCGTTTGTTTTAACACTCAGAGATCAGGAGCCTAGTGTTTTTAAGGTTGCGTACAAACAAAAGCTTCGATGCTACAGCACTATATGTGCTAAAAGCTCATGCATATTTGTACTTCAGTGTCAAGATCATGGTCCTTGCAAGCTCTGTAAACCTTAGCTGAGGCCAACACAGATGCTTCAGATTTATTCTTCTATTAACAGGCTCAGAATCTAGATCTTGGTTATTATTATCACCAGTACACAGCATGCCAAGATGTGAAGGACAAGTGGAAGGACAGTCTAAAATGCAAATGATGCAATAAATGGGCATAGTAAGTAACAGGGAGAAAATGAAATACAAAGGGACAAAGCCAAGAAAAAGGTTGTTCAGTTTAGGGAGGGTGATCCAACAAAATTGACTAATATTTAACAATCACTTGCTAACTGTAGGCTCATTTACTGTGGCCAGCAACAAGGAAAATGTTAATGACTGGCAAATGACTATTCCTTAATTTAGATTCAGAATAATCCTTTTTAATATATTCATCAATGATCTGGACGAGGGCATTGGTGCACACTCAGTAAGTTTGCAGATGACACCAAGCTATGCACATGTGTCGATCTGCTCGAGGGTAGGAAGGCTCTGCAGGAGGATCTGGATAGGCTGCACCGATGGGCTGAGGTCAACTGCATGAAGTTCAACAAGGCCAAGTGCCGGGTCCTGCACCTGGGGCGCAATAACCCCAAACAGAGCTACAGGCTGGGAGATGAGTGGTTGGAGAGCTGCCAGGCAGAGAAGGACCTGGGAGTGATGGTGGACAGTCGGCTGAATATGAGCCAGCAGTGTGCGCAGGTGGCCAAGAAGGCCAACGGCATCCTGGCTTGTACAAGAAGCAGTGTGGCCAGCAGGTCTGGGGAAGTGATTGTCCCCATGTACTTGGCTCTGGTGGGGCCGCACCTCGAGTACTGTGTTCAGTTTTGGGCCCCTCGCTACAAGAAGGACATCAAGGTGCTTGAGCGGGTCCAGAGAAGGGCGACGAAGCTGGTGAGGGGCCTGGAGAACAAGTCCTACGAGGAGTGGCTGAAGGAGCTGGGCTTGTTCAGCCTAGAGAAGAGGAGGCTCAGGGGCAACCTTATTGCTCTCTACAGATACCTTAAAGGAGGCTGTAGTGAGGTGGGCGTTGGCCTGTTCTCCCACGTGCCTGGTGACAGGACGAGGGGGAATGGGCTTAAGTTGCGCCAGGGGAGTTTTAGGTTAGATGTTAGGAAGAACTTCTTTACTGAAAGGGTTGTTAGACACTGGAGCAGGCTGCCCAGGGAAGTGGTGGAGTCACCATCCCTGGAAGTCTTTAAAAGACGTTTAGATGTAGAGCTTAGGGATATGGTTTAGTGGGGACTGTTAGCGTTAGGTCAGAGGTTGGACTCGATGATCTTGAGGTCTCTTCCAACCTAGAAATTCTGTGATTCTGTGATAATGTTATCAAAGAATATGGAAATTCCTTAACAAGGTGAGAAGGCATATAATCCTGTCCAAGTACTTACACAACTACTTTTACCTTGGTACCTGACTGTTTTGTTTGTAACAGTCCTCATATCTCATGCAATTGGGAAGCTTTAGAGCAGGCCCAGAGCAGCAGTGACGCCTGGGGAGACAGGCTGCTGGGGCTGGCACAGCCCTCATGGGTTATCCTAGCCTGGGTGGCCAATACTTGCCTCGTGCTAGCACAGCTCCTAACACAACCTTCTAGAAGCAACTTTCCAAGCCTATTCCATCCAAACACATTTAACAGGATATTCCCCAACTATCCCATCCCTTCCAATCTGTGTCTTCACCTTCATTCTTGGTGTTCAAAGAGCAGGACTAACACCTGATGGCAGGACTAACACCTGAGGCAAGGCAAGGCAAGCCCAGGCAAGCCCAGGCAAGGCAAGTCAAGCACAGGCAAGGCAAGGCAAGATAAGGAAAGGCCAGGCAAGGAAGCCCAGGCAAGGCAAGGCAAGGTAAGGCAAAGCAAGGCAAGGCAAGCCCAGGAAAGGCAAGGCAAGGCAAGGCAAGGCAAGCACAGGCAAGTCAAGGAAAGGCAAGGCAAGGCAAGGCAAGCACAGGCAAGGCAAGGCAAGCCCAGGTAAGGCAAGGCAAGGCAAGGCAAGCCCAGGCAAGACAAGGCAAGCCCAGGAAAGGCAAGTCAAGGCCAGGCAAGGCAAGGAAAGGCAAGGCAAGCCCAGGCAAGGCAAGCCCAGGCAAGGCAAGGCAAGGCAAGCCCAGGCAAGGCAAGGCAAGGCAAGCCCAGGGAAGGGAAGGCAAGCCCAGGCAAGGCAAGGCAAGGCAAGGTAAGGCAAGGCAAGGCAAGGCAAGGCAAGCCCAGGAAAGTCAAGGCAAGGAAAGGCAAGGCAAGCCCAGGCAAGGCAAGGCAAGGCAAGGCAAGTCAAGGCCAGGCAAGGAAAGGCAAGGCAAGCCCAGGCAAGACAAGGCAAGGCAAGGCAAGCCCAGGCAAGACAAGGCAAGGCAAGCCAAGCCAAGCAGCCAAGGCAGGCAAGCAAGCCAAGCCAAGCCAGCCAAAGCCCAGGCAAGGCAAGACCAGGCAAGGCAAGTCCTGGTAAGCCCAGGGAAGGCAAGGCAAGGCAAGGCAAGCCGAGGCAAGCCCAGGCAAGGCAAGGCAAGGCAAGGCAAGCCCATGAAGCCCAGGCAAGCCCAGGCAAGGCAAGGCAAGGCAAACCAAGCCAAGCACAGCCAAGGCAAGGCAAGCCAAGGCAAGCCAAGCCAAGCCAAGCCAAGCCAAGCCAAGCCCAGGCAAGGCAAGACCAGGCAAGGCAAGTCCAGGTAAGCCCAGGGAAGGCAAGACAAGCCCAGGCAAGCCCAGGGAAGGCAAGGCAAGCCCAGGCAAGGCAAGGCAAGCCCAGGCAAGGCAAGGCAAGGGAAGGCAAGCCCAGGCAAAGCAAGGCAAGGCAAGGCAAGGCAAGGCAAGGCAAGCCCAGGCAAGGCAAGGCAAGGCAAGCCCAGGCAAGCCCAGACAAGGCAAGCCCAGACTAGGCAAGCCCAGGAAAGCCCAGGCATGCTCAGCCAAACCCAGGCAAGCCAAGGCAAGGCAAATCAAGGCTAGGCAAGGCAAGGCAAACCAAGCCAAGCACAGCCAAGCCAAGCGAAGGCAAGGCAAGCCCAGGCAAGTCAAGGCAAGGCAAGGCAAGCCAAGCCCAGGGAAGGGAAGGCAAGCCCAGGCAAGGCAACCCCAGGCAAGCACAGGCAAGGCAAGGCAAGGCAACCCCAGGCAAGGCAAGTCCAGGCAAGGTAAGTCCAGGCAAGGTAACCCAGGCAAGATCAGGCAAGCCCAGGCATACCCAGGCAAGCCCAGGAAAACCCAGGCAAGGCAAGGCAAGGCAAGGCAAACCCAGGCAAGGCAAGCCCAGGAAAGCTCAGGCAAGCCCAGGCAAGGCAAGCCCGGGCACGGCAAGCCCGGGCAAGGCGAGGCAAGGCCAGGCGAGGCAAGGCCAGGCGAGGCAAGGCAAGGCAAGCCTAGGCAAGCCCAGGCAAGGCAAGGCAAGGCAAGCCAAGGCAAGGCAAGCCAAGCCAAGCCAAGCTAAGCTAAGCCAAGCCAAGGCAAGCCCAGGCGAGGCAAGCCCTGGCAAGCCCAGGCAAGGGAAGGGAAGGCCAGGCAAGGCCAGGCAAGGCCAGGCAAGGCAAGGCAATGCAAGGGCTGCAGGAGCTGATTCCTGTACCCTAGTGTAAGGAATGTGTCTTGATGGTCCAATTTATGGAGCTCATGTATTTACAGGTTTGTGCTTTGGTCTCTTACTGATAATAATGCTTTTTTGTTTTGTTTTGTTTTTTGTTATTAATATTTTTATCAATGTCAGTTAGCTGAAGGAAGGAATGTAAGTAGTCCACTGCTGTCTTTTCATTCTCAATGGACAGCATATACATTAAATGACACAAATAAATAACTAACATAAAACCCTCCTAATCCTAAAATCAAATCCCATAATCTCCTCTCCTCTCCTCTCCTCTCCTCTCCTCTCCTCTCCTCTCCTCTCCTCTCCTCTCCTCTCCTCTCCTCTCCTCTCCTCTCCTCTCCTCTCCTCTCCTCTCCTCTCCTCTCCTCTCCTCTCTCTCCTCTCCTCTCCTCTCCTCTCCTCCTCTCCTCTCCTCTCCTCTCCTCTCCTCTCCTCTCCTCTCCTCTCCTCTCCTCTCCTCTCCTCTCCTCTCCTCTCCTCTCCTCTCCTCTCCTCTCCTCTCCTCTCCTCTCCTCTCCTCTCCTCTCCTCTCCTCTCCTCTCCTCTCCTCTCCTCTCCTCTCCTCTCCTCTCCTCTCCTCTCCTCTCCTCTCCTCCCAAGTGTTTTTTGGCTTCCAGCAAACTCCTAAAGAATCCATGGTCCAGAGTGGTAGAATTTTACCTAGAGCTGATGAGAACAATGAGAGAGCCATGTGCCTGACTTTCTGTGAGGTATTTCAAGTATCTAAGTCCCCTGTAAGCTCAAAAGTTAAGAGCTTTACAATGTGTCAGAATCCTGCAGGGTACTCTAAGCAACATAAAGTTCAATAACTAGTACCTATAAAACTAGAAAAGTTGAGTTCAAAAGGTATTCCATTGTGGATTAAAGCTGCTTCCCTCTACCATTCTGTAAAAAAAAAAAATAAATAAATA